TCCCTTATCTCAATCCTAATTCACTTATCCATCGTACTACATTATCCCTCTTATTACAAAATGCATGGCATATTATACTGCATTACAGTTAATTATACGTCTTGCCACCTGAGTAGCATAAATGACTTGAGAGCAAAAATTAGATGTACATACTTCTGTGCACCACAGTGATTAGAAAAATAACTGTCTTCCCATAGTAGGTTCTCATGTCTGTTGCATTCATTAAATCTTGTTCAAAGCCACCTCCTCTGAAAAATACAAGTTACTGACAATGAAATGACAGGATCTACTAGGACCCCTGATGTATGATGAATTTGGGGATCGAGAGAAAAATACAGCTGCTTATTGAAACCAACAACAATTTCCAGAAAATTATTAGCTCTTTCCTCCTTGGTTTCTTAGGAGACTGAGCCAGACAACTTTTCTATGTGATATATTTGTTAAACAGTGTGTCTGAGGCAGTCTGTCTGACATTGATAAACTACTTGAAATTTTACATTAAAAAGAGGAAGAAATACCAGAACGCATCGCTATTGCTTTTAAAAACGTTGCTCAACATTGATTGTGTGAAGATATTTTGTATAGTAGCTAAGGGGATAAAGGTGCATGCACCTGTAGCAAATGAATGGGGAGAAACACGGGGGGGGGGGGGGGGAGAGAGAAGATAGATGGCGATTATATAGAGTCACCTGTGACAAAATGACTTACTTTTATTTCCTTCAAGCTCAGGCAATAACCTCCCATTTTTCATTGGCTAGAAAAAATATGTCAACAAAATTTTCCTTTACTGTCTTCTTTTTTTTAGTATATGCCTCACTGTAAGGATAGAGATAATTCAAATCTCATCCTTTCTCCATATAAACTACCATTGTCACAATTCAGAATATAGAAATTGAGAATACCTACATTTGGATCTTCTCTCTTAAGTACTGCACTATTCACAAATAGTACAAAGCAAGTAATTTAATTTCAAACCTTATATAGCAGCACAAGAAAACCCTATATTTCAGAATATCAATCAGTATGTCAGTGATCATTAAGGTATATAACAAAATAACATAGGACTTGATTCACTAATATCCCCCTAAACAGAGATCTATGAAAAATTTTTTTAATTCTTTCAATTTTTATTTTAATTGTAAATTAACAAATTATGTATATATTTATGGGTATAGGTGAAGTTACGATTTGTGAACACATTAGAATAATCAAATCAAGTTAATCAACATATTCATTACCTTAAAAACTTACTTTTTATTTTTATTTTTGAAATGTACTCTCTTAGTGAGTTTGAAATGTACAGTACATTATTATTTACTATATTCACCATGTTCTCTCTAATTAAAGCTTTGCACCTGTGTTTTTATTCATTGTACCAGGGAACATTGTCTTCTACATATTCAAATGTTTCTTTTTAAAATGACCAGATTTTAACACTCACTTTGTTAAACATTATAAATCAATAGAAGTGATAATAATAAACAACTCCATCTTTCCTCATCCCAATCATGCTTGTAAAGCTGTCAGCTTTTCACATTTCTGTGTCAAGTTCTGCTCTAGGTTACCTTCATACTGTGAAATAAATGCTTATACAGCTACTTCTTAATTTACCACCTTTAGATAATTTCTATTGATTTTCTGCTATGATAGATGAGGATTTATTTCACACAACTATCACCACCCCGCCTCAATTTTTCTAGTTATAACATTATTTTTAGTGCCTGCGCCTTCATAACATATAATATACTTCAATTTCAATTTCTTACTCCATCAACTATGGACTGTGTCCTTTGACACCTTACTGCAAGATGATGCCATACAAGGGCAAAATAGTCAAGGTTTCAAATTGTAAGGGTAAGATGATCAAGCCTTCTTTGTTTAGTAGTAAGAAGAAAGGCTATTGTCTCCTAACCTTCTCCTCCTTTGGGTATCTCCTTGAAAACACAAGTCTGATAAGAAGTCAGAACTTCTAATCTTAAAAGACAAAATTGTAAGCCATCTGATCCTTGGAACTATAAACACATACCTCCAAGGTTAAGTGAGAAGTCAGTCTCTCACAAGTTATACAGGAGAAAACCACAAGGCAAGTTTTCTAGTCTCTTGAGGAGATAAGCGAAGTTTTAATTGTTTTCTCTTCTACTTTTCTGTATAAATTTGTGTGAAATTCTATACAGACTTTGTAGACATTCCAATGCTATCTTTATATGCATATAACTTCTAAAGTTTATTCCCTAATAAATTTATGTTCTCTTTCTTTTTTTTCTTCTATATTGGTTAAGAAAACTACAGTTGAGAAGGGATGTGTTTTTGCTGACAGAACTATTTCATTTTCCCAACGGTTAGTAGAAATAATATCCTTCCTTCTCCCTCTCATACCTCTCTTGGCAAGGCAAATAAAATTCACATTCTGTTTTATCATCAGAATATATTCCATACATTGCCTATAGATTGATTAAAGTTGAAAGTCAATAAAACAGTGTTTAGATTATTATGAATATGTAGATGTTGTTCATTAACAAGTTATATAATAATGGTACAATTTTCTCCTCTCGGTTGTAATGATACCCCTGTGCCACTCAAAGAAGAATGTTCCTGGCATCAAGATCAACAGGACAATCCTTCCAGCTTGAATCTGCCTCATATTAATTTACTACATATTTAAATTATAATTTGCTTATGTGGTTTTGAAGCTGTCTCCCTTTTTTTTCTCTTTCAGAGAATTAACATATATTCTCTTCATAACATGTCTACAGCTTCCTTATTGTTATATCTAATTCTCAAAATGCATATTATTCTTGAAGACATTATCCTTACAGCCCACTGAACTATTCTAATTTGGATCAATTGTTTAGGAAGACATCTATTATACAGCTCATATATTGTTTTATTTGATGCCTGAATAAATTCTACCATTTCTTGTATCCTCTATATTGTCCTTTCTTGTTTTCACCATCATTTTTCTGGATTATACCCTTAAGTAACTTTCCCACAAAGAACGCAAGGTTGGTTAGGTTTCCCAGTTATTGCATATGGGGAAATCACTTCATTTAATTTTAAACTGATGGAAAATTTGAGACTATATAATTCTAGACTCAAAATTATCTTCCTTCACTTTAAAAGTCTTCCCTGCCTGTATTCCCAACATTCTAATTGTGACTAATGAGAAGTCTAACATAGTTTAATCCTTGCTTTTTTTGTAGGTTTCTTTTGTTGTTGTTGGCTTTGGTTCTTGATGTGTTTCTTCTACTATCCCCCTTTTCCAGGTATTCAAGTCATCTTTGAGTCTACTTCATCAATTATTACACTTTCACCAGTGTCTATCTTCCCTGCATGTGTTAAGATCTTTGATTCATGGGGAAAAAAATAAAAAGGCCAAGAAGTTGCCTTCAGGACTCTTTATAGGCTGAGCCAAAACAGAGAATCTGCCAAAGAGGGAATGGTGTGTCAGAAGCCAGAAGAAGGAAGGCCTCAGCAGTGTCAAAAAGGGAATGAAATTTTATAGTTCCCTGACTTTGACTTCATCTCTGGATGGTGAAAGCCTAATCTCACAGTTCCTTGATTCCCTCAATTCTCTCTCCATCCCAATCCAGAAACTCCCTCCTGTGGCTGCTCTAGACCACATCTTCACATAGAACTTTTGAATTTCTACCTTCCAATATCCCGATCTCCAATCCAGCTCCTTTGCTTCCAGTTTCTTATGTTCCTTTCTCCTCCAGAGGTGCCTTTAATTTCATCATAACCCCAGATCTTCCCAGGGTTAGCTGTACTTTCTTGACTCTCCATCACTTCTGCAGCCTTCTTCTCCCGCTGTTACCTTAACCCATTTTTAGTTATTCACTTCCACCTCTTCCAACAACTCACATTTCTACCGAATTACTGAGCACAAATAGTGAAAACTATGGTGCTACACATACTGTTTCACCTACAAATTAATAGTCTCCAACCTGAGAGATCCCTCAACGCTGTTCAATAATTCAAGTATCCCTAGATACATTGTTTTCCCCTAAGGGTGGCAATTGCACTATTTCCATCACTCATCATGATTCCTATCATTCTTACCATTGGTTTGCTTCCAATTTCACTGGGAGAATAAAAACTACAGAAAATATATGCCTGTAACTATCTTTTAATACATATGATCTGCTTCACTTCATCTTTGACAATACCAGACAAAGGAAGTGATGACTTTTATCTATAGAATAAGTATCATATTTATTTAACTTATGGACTTATATAATAATAAGTGTGATCATATATAGTCCACAAATAAAGGCTAAAAAGGAGAAATTATATAGGTCACATTTTCTTACAACAAAACAAGTAAAATATAAAATAAAATTAGGCTAACCTGAGCATGTGTATAGTATTTGTTAGTTTTAAGTGCTATATATTACATATACAAAGACAGAAAGAAAAAGAGAGAGAGAGGGAGAGGACAGATTTAATTTTTACAACAACCTTTTGGGTTAGGATAAGAAATATTAAGCACAGCAACTTTAAGTAATTTGCTCAAGTTCACACAGCTCTCAAGTTACAGACTCAGGATATAAACCTGGGCTGTAAGGTTCTAGTTTCCTTCCACTTAATCATCATAATATATTTATTGCATTTTCATTCAAGTAAACCCCACATACTAAGTATTTTTTAAAAATTCCTTTACATATCTATTGGTTTACCAAGGAAATATGCAGAAAAAATAGTTTTAACAAGCAGTGAAAATAATACAAAGATGTAACCAATGCTGTTTTTAAGAGAAAATTCATGATCTGAATAATCCAATTATTATTTTAAAGGAAGAATAAATGCCTTCAATCTTCAGAACAACTCAGAATCTACACAACGAATCATCTAGAGTTATTTTTGCTATATGTGATAATAGAAAATGTTTTGAAGTGGATACAGATCTTCTATGATCTCTCCTTTGATCCTTAGAACTCTACCACAAGCAAAGTTACCTGTAACCATTGTTAGGTAACACAGAGAACTCCCCAGTATTCCTTATGAGCAAAAGAATGTTCCTAATATTGCTTTGTTCCTAATATTGATAATTTGCCACTTGAAAATGTAGGTGGGAATGAAGGAATACTTCCCCCTCACCCCAGAAGGTTTGCTGAAAGATATAAACTTACCATAAGGCAGACTAATAAGAGAAAGATTTATTTACTGTGCATATGGGGAGAATTATGGAGTGATTACTCAATATCCCAGTGGGGTCCAGAAATTTATTTACTTCCATTTTAGAGGGGTGGGAGAGATAAAAAATATAGGGAATTCTGTTTAGGGGCAATAAATGGTTACTAGGGAGGATGAATAGAAACTTGGGAAAATGAACAGATGAAGGAAAACAGATTGACTTGTAAATGATTCTTTTTAGAAACTAAACTAACCTGAGAAAGAGGTATTATATTTTAAATGATTTGAGCCAGGTCTGGTTGCATTCTTGATCTTCTTTCTTATAATATACTGAGATAACAGGGAGGGGAAGGCAAGTCAATTGTTCTTTTTCATGGATCTGTATTTTTTAATAAAAAAAGAGGAAAAGCCCCTTCCAAGGCCCATTGATCTCTAAGGGCCTTTAATTCAAAATACTCTTTATACCAAGGAGTTATATTTTGGAGTAAAATTTCCTGAGCTCCTTCATAGTATCTGAGGAATCTTCTGAATGAAAGTATCATCTTTTTTAAGAATTGTAACCATTAGAACACACAGTTATTCTAAGTATAAATTGTAATTAGGTCACTCGATTTAGCAAATAAAAATAAAGGATATCTAGTTAAATTTGAATTTTTGAAAAACAACAAAAAATCTTTAGAATAAGTATGCCACATGCAATGTTTGGGATATACTTATACTAAAAGATTATTATTTTTTTATCTAAAATTTAAATTTAAATGAGCTTTGCCTTCCTCACCAATCTTGGAGAAGACTTGCCACACAGACAAGGATAAATCTTATTATTCCACATTCTGTTAGTAACTTGTTTCTCTTCGTTATGATCACATCAAACCAATAATTAATCATTTGTGTTATAATGTATGCAATTATTTGCCATTATTTGTTCAATGTCTGTCTTCCCTACTAAACTATAAGCTGCTTATAAACCGAGTCTCTAACTGTATTTCTCCTTAACTACATTCCTAGTCTCAAGGGCCATGCCTATACTTATGATATAAGAGAAATAAATCTTTAAGTAGAGTTTATATCCTTTCTAGGAAAATCCATTTGAATATTCACAACTTATTCTCCTGCCAACATGTTTCAAAGTCACACACTGACTGAGAAAATTCTGAGAACAGCTGGCTAGAACATTTCTTGATTTTTTTTTTTTAGGTGTATAGGAAGTAAGTAAAGATAAAGTCATGAAGATCAGGCCTGCATATTGGCTTCTTAAAAAAGAGAACCTGAGTAACCAAGCCTTTTAGCTGCGCTTGCTTGAAAGAAACCAGAACATAACAAATTCTAGAGAACCCCCTTACCTAAAGGTCAGATACTGTTAGAAGATCTCAGTTCCTTTCCCATTGTTCGTTAAGCAAGCACAAACTGAGGCTGTTGAAAAGCCACTCAAATTAGTGGAACTTGACAATTATTCCAAAAGGAGTAGTTTGTACACAAGGGAGGAGGACAGTAAAGAGTCACTATGATATGTTCAAATGCTAATACTATATTCCCAATTACTTTGGTGATATTGCTAATCAGGGAAATTTAAAAGATGAGAATGGATAAGAAACAAGGCACCATTTAAGTATATCATTCAAGCTTACAGTAAAAGCTAATCACTACATTTAATTATACAGAAAAAGGAGTCAAAAAAGAAATTATTTCAAGTATGTTGAGAATAATACAATAAGAACATTAACAGTTAAATGAGTGGCTGCCATCTTAATGGTACTGTTGAATAGATAAAATAAATAAAACTCATGAGAAAAAGGAGGGTGGTGATTTTTGGCACCTTAGGTTATCTAGCATAAAAATATATGCCACCTTATATAACTAGGCCTAAAAGAAATCAGCTAAAACTACTAAACTAAGATGGCTTGCATATTAGTTTTCTAGGGCTGCCATAGCAAAGTACCACAAACTGGGTGGCTTAAACAATAAAAAATTTTAGTTTTTCACAGTTCTGAGGGGTTGAAGTCCAAAATCAGGGTGTCAGCAGGGTGGGTTTCTTCTGAGGGCTTCTATTCTTGGCTATACATGGCCATCTGCCTCCATTGTGTTCAGAAGGTCATCTTTGTGTGTCTGTGTTCTAATATCCTCCTCTACTAAGGACACCAGTCATTTGGATTAGAGCCAACCCATACGACTTCATTTTACCTTAATTACCTCTTTAAAGACCTCATTTCAAAATATAGTCACATTCTGAGCTACTGGGGCTATGACTTTAACATTTGAATTTTGAAAAGACACAATTCATCCCAGAACAGCATACCTATTAATAAAAAAAAAAAAACACAAAAAATTCCTATTTTCCCTTCTACTTCCTAATTTTTGTGACATAATTCATATACTATAAAATTCACTCTTTTAAGGTATACAACTATATTTCATAGGATTTTTGGGATAGAAGTCTGCAAATATTTGCTTCCAGAAGGAAGCTTATATCTCATTTTTTTAATTCAACCATTTTGAGCTTTTAAAAACATTTTTTTCCAGATATCACTAGTGATTTTTTTTCAGTTTGGTAGCAGATTGATTAAAAAAACAGATGATTTGGCAAAAGTCTGGACTCTAAAGGCTTCCTGAATTAGATAATGCCCTTGTACAGCTACCAAAAGCTTCCTCAGGCAAGAATTTGCCTCTCTTTTTTAGTGAGCCCCAACATTCTCCCAGGATAAGACACAGAGGTAGAATATGGGGCCTAAGTACTAAAGTTTCACAAGCTGCTCATGCAGCAAGAAGAATTATATCTCATCAGAGGGTGATATGATTTCTACTTCATAGCTGAAAGTCACTTACAAAAATACATGAAACTCCACTTTCCTTTTCTTCAAGAGAATATACAGAATTTAGCAGAAAATGAATACGACCTCAAATTCACAGTTTCTTAAGTATGGAGCTTATGGAAACTCAAGAGCCTTCAGAAAATGATGTGAACTCAGTCAAGAACACTGGTGAAAGTGAGAAGGTGTGATGTATTTTTAGTGGTTGAGTAGAATTTGTACATGCTTATTTTAAATTTCAAAATGATAAACGTTCCATTTTCTACCTTTAATTTCTTACCTCTTTAACCCCATATTTTTTAAACCATGGTATATATGAGCTTATTTCCTGACTCAACCACCAATTGCTTAAATGATGATAGGTCATGGCCAAAAAACTGTCCATTCCCCCGCCAGCCTTTAGTAAGAGGAAGATGATACCCAAACAACTTTCTTCCAGAAGGAATTACACTGAGACATGCATTGGCATTGGGTAAAAGGAGCTGAACACAACTGTTCCTAAGGAATAGTCTCGTAATGGTTGGTCATAATAGTCAGTCAAGTTATACTGTCAATTAGAACTTCTCTTTTGTTCAAATATAGATTTTCCCCTATTTTTCTCCTCGTTTGATTGGTTTGGATATTTTCTGTTCTCCTAAATGAAATTAGCTTTTTCTGTAATAAACAAATCAGAAAGACAATATGCACACTTACATATGTACATATTAAATATTTAGTTCATAAATATGAAATGTTTGATTTCGAATCAAAAGAGTGTTTATTATATCCCAAACAAGAAGCAGTAACAATTAATCAAAGTATGTGCCTAATCTATCAGTTTGGCCTAACAGTTTGGCCATCTTAACGGTACTTGTTGTGTCTGCAGCAAAGAAGTCTGGAGAGCAAGTGGCGATGAAATCGAGAAAGGCGTTTTCCACAGCGTGTTGAGAATATGAGTATTTTTCCTCACAAGTAGTGGTCCAAAGCCAGAAAAAGTGATAGTCAGTTGATGCAAGGTCTAGTAACATATGTGGATAATAGGAGTTTCCAGGTCCAGCTGCTGTAGTTTAAGCAGAATTATTTGTGCAGCATGTGGTGGGCATTGTCTTGCAAGAGGATTGGCCTGTCTCTATTGACCAATCTTGATTGCTTAATCAATAAGCATCCTCATAATCTTCATTCATTGGTTGCAGTAGACATCCACTTTAATCAACTGACCAGGTTTCACAAAGTTGTAGTAGTAATACCAGCAGTGGACCACCAAATATACACCATTAGCATTTATTGATGAATGTTCAGTTTTGGACTACACTTTGGCACTTCATCTGTATCCAACCATTGTGCCAAATGCTTGAAATTTGTCAAAAAGAATCCATTTTTCATCACACATGTAGAAATGTTTCACAATTTTTGTTGTGACAGCAAAGAAAGGCAAACTTCGAGAAGATGTCTCTTCTGATGCTTGTTTAATTCATCTGGAAACCATCTAACCAGCTTCTTTTTTTCCCCCACCTTGCCCATTTGTTTCAATGGTCAATTTGTTGGAACAGTAACCGTCAAACCTTGCTACTAATTCATGCATAGGTTGAGATGGATTTGCTTCCATTACAACTTTTAGCTATCAATTATCCACCTTGGTCTCAGGTCACCCATATGGATTTTTTCAAAATTAAACTCACCAGAACAGAACTTCTCAACCATCAACATACTGTACATTCACTAGCTACATTTTTCCTAAAACACTTTCTTCATATTTTGAGCTGTCTGCACTGCATTGGTTCCATGACAGAATCATATTCAAAATAACACCAATTTTTGACTTATTCATGGTTTCACAAAAATTGCTCTTAAAAATATTGGAAGATAATCACAAGCCACAACATGCATTGGAAAGACTGAGGATGTACCTTCACAATAAAATAAACAAGAAGTGTCAAGTGAAATGTCAGGGATAGCAACTATCAAAGTTAAGTACGTAAGGAAATTGGACATTTCATTTAAATATGTGTGTATACATATATACAGAGAGTGAGATTTATATTTATAGGGGATAAATATTTCCCAGCTTACACAATTAATATAATCTTTAAAAGAAAATGAAGCTTGATCATCTATTTTGTATACCCCTTATAAGTTATATAGTTTTAAATGGAAGATAATATTTATGTCTACTGCTTAGTTTTAGGAACACACTATTTCCACAGCTGGTAACAAGTCGCAAATAAATTTCACCCGAGTAAGTTGCTCTTACCATAAAATTAATAAGCCACTTCATAATTTTTGATAGTAAAATATATTATTGTAACTAAACACAAATTGTCTTCTTCTTAGGCTAGAAACAAGCTACTACATCGCAGCATGCCAATTAATATTTCTTTGTGTTTTTCTGCAGGCTGTTGCTACCCATGTGAGAGTAAAAAGAGTACTTAAATCAGTGCTGCTTTCCTTGATGGCTCTATTGATCCAAAAGCCCATTGAAGTCAATAGGATTTTGTCTTTGGCAGAAATGTTGTACTTAGATTATCTCCATAAGAAAGTACAAAAAAAAAAAAAAAAAAAACCATTGTCTAAATAGCTCATTTACTTTCAAACCACTAAGCCAGGTTTGTTTAAAACATATTAGAAATTTTACTAATCTTTAAAGTGGATTGGCACATTGTGAATAAAGTGGTATAATACATCAAAGAAGAGATGACTTGTGTATGTGATATTTGAGTTCCTCCTTTATTGCAATAATTCCTTTGGGTTCTTGTCAGCTGGGTTCCTTTAAAATAGTAATACAATAGCTCCCAAGTTTCCCTGGCTAGGAGATCACAATGAACCAGTCCTGAAGCCTTTCTTCTTTGATTGCCAAGGCAGATCTGATTACTCTAGAGCCCCGACTTCATTTTCAGGGCAGAAGCAAATGTTTCTCAGTGTGGGACACCAGTCAGAGCAGCAGATGTTTCCTCTGATCTGACTAATAATTACCTTGAGGTGAGAGTGCAAAAGAAGAGAGGAAATATCATTCAGAGAGACACTTTCTTCCTGAGGGCTGGGGTCTTAGTCTTTAAATGACTCAGTGCAGGTGCTCTCTTAGCCATTGTGTGTATGCTATGTCTCACACACACACACACACACACACACACACACACACACACACACACAGGTCAAGAATTCCCATCCATTATGATGTATCTCACCTGGATATCTGAACTGTAAAATTAGACAGATCCTATGCTTTTTCTCTCTGTCTTAGTGTCCTGATCTAAAAAGTGTAATTAGGATTGTTGTGAGGATTAAACACAGTGAGACTTTGGAAATGTTTAGCTCTCAAAAAATAAAATAGTTTCTTTAGCCATGTTGTTGTATAGAGTGTTCAGAAGTAAAAAATTATTTTATAAAAGCATAACAACTCCAATGATAACTATTGTCACTGAAACTTTTGCCCTCAGAATAGGGTGATTAGATATTAGAAAAAAATAACAGACATTTCTTAATCTATGAAGGTAGTAAAGAATGTCTGAATTTAGACAGATGAGACTGAAAAAGAGAATGTTACAAATCAGAAGAGAACAGAATGGAGCAGAAAGGACATTGGGAACTGGGTTTGGATCATTTTCAATGTGGTCAGCCATGTCAAAAGAAAAAGAAGTTCTCATTTTTTTTAAAACTTAGAACCACATCACCACTATTGCTCATATGTTGATTTATATATCCAATTTTCTATGCTTTTGAAAAAAAGTGGTAATCGGCTTTCCTTCTTTATACATTTTTTCCATCTTTTTTTCCCTTTTATTTACTCACCAAGTGTTGTATAAGGCACTGGAGAGCCATAATTCCTAGAACTGACCTCAGTACAATAAAGAAGACAGATATATAAACCTACTTTCCTAGTGGAGAAATACAGTGTGTCCTACTTTTTGCCTTGGTTCTAATTTCTAATTATTTTTCTTTGTTTCTAAAGTCTGCTCATCAACTGTAGTTGAACAGCAATTGCCTGAAGCTGAGGACCCACCCTTTAAAAGCTCTGTACTTCTGCTTATTGTTACGATGATGGCATTTCAGACAAGAGTCTTCACCCTTCTCCTTTGCCAGCAAAGTAATAAACTTATATTTCCTTCTCACAAAGAAAGAAAGGAAAAGAAAGAAAGAAGGAAAGAAAGAAAGAAAGAAAGAAAGAAAGAAAGAAAGAAAGAAGAAAAAAAGAAAGAAAGAAAGAAAGAAAGAAAGAGAAAGAAAAAATTTGATTCAGTGTGTTTAAATCAGAAAATGGACCGTCAGTTGGCTTATTCAGTCATCCAGAGATTACCTCCTACTCTCAGCAAAGTTAAAATTGACTGGGTGCTGTCAGGACAACTATTACAACTCCAGAAAACAAACCCTGAAGATTCTTTTTCAGATGTGAGGAGCAACAACTAATTTGTCAAAGATACCATCTCTACCCTCAGCAACCACTTTCCACCCAGTGGGGTTCCTACACAGACACCTGTGAGGGCCCATATTCCATTCCTATAGAATGTTACTTTCTCATTCAAGTACGTTTCTATAGCTATATACGCTTGAAGTAGATGGTGAGAAGTTTCTACACATGAATTGTAGGAATGGACTCTTTTACAATTTGGCTACATTCTGGCTTGTGTGTTCAGAAGTGTTTAAAACAGGCTTTACATTTTTAAAATATTTTTTTTTTTTTTCTTTGTATAAAGTAAAGGAGAAAGAAGATAGCCATCATGGAATGCCTGTCCAGGTTTAAGACATATCTTTTTAAAAACTGAAGACCCAAGACAGTGATCAGCAAACTTCTTTTGTGATTTTAGGGGCAATAGGCAAATACAGTAGTCTTTGCAGGCCATACAGTTTCTGTCCACAATTATTCAGCTCTGCTGTTAGATGAAAGCAACCATAGACAATATGTAAACTGGTGAGCTAGGTTATGCTCCATTCAAACTTTATTTTGGACCTGAACTTAAGTTTCATATAATTTTCATATGTCATACAATTCTTCTTTTGATCTTTTTTCACCATTTACAAAATGTACAACCATCTTTTAACTGCAAGTTACATAAAAACAGGAGGCTGGCTGGATTGGCCTACTGGCTGTAGTTTTCCCACTCTGACAAGAGATAAATCACTTGCCCAGACGCAAGAGCATAACTACCGCTAACTATTACTATTTTACTATTATCATCAATTGGTTGTAAATTCTATACAAATAAATATTAAA